TATACTGTGCTTTTAACTGAGCTGGAACATATACAGTATATGTTCATAATATTTTATTCCAAGCCGAGAAGCTTTGTCATTGTTCTTCTGAATTCATGTTTATTTTATAATAAAATACTGTTTATGGCTTTTATCATCCCTTAATCTTAAAATTTCCTTTGGTAATTTCTTAGTTAGATAGATATTGATTAGAGATCTGTTGTATTAGAAGATGTTAGTGTAGCCAGGATGTCTTCCTCAGGCTGTTAAATGCAAGGTTAGTTAAAGCAGAGAAAGGCTGCCGTCAGGGATAAATGTTATTATGACGGTAAAAGTAACCATAATATTTGTCTTAATGTGTAATGTTATGTCAAATTGTTTTAGATACACACCACGAAAACAACAGCCACACACCTTGACTTTTCCTCATGTTTTGGCTAACGTTATAGCCAGCTGCAAAGCTGGTGAGAGAGAGACGTCTTGGTTGACGTTTCTGTGGAGGAGGGGGCGAGCCAACTGATGATAGTGTATAGCAATGCTTGGTTCGGGGTCTTGCTTCTTCCGGGCTGCTTGGGCAGCCTGGGGGTTGGAAGATCTCTGGACTTGTAATGTTAATTTTGCCTGTGACTCTTTGAATAAACTAGCACGGTTATATTTTTTATATATCCAAGTGGTCTGAGTCGTCCCTCTGAGTTCCTGGTTTGAAAGAACCGCACGTGGCTTTATGATAGAATTAAGCCTTTACCAACTACTGTAATTTAAATGCGACTAAAGCTGACATTTCATGTTTTTCAGTACACATATGAAGTTAGAGAGAGTGATTAAGATTAAAAACTTAAATTTAAGATTAAATTGGCTTTATAATGTGTCTGCAAAGTTATACAGCAACCAATGCTCCATAAAAACTGAAATATTCAGATTACACGCCGACCAAATCAAAACGAGTGATCCGGTTGCATTTTGTAATTGGATTACCTGTATGACAAGAGAGCTTAGGGAAGTTTCCAGACATGATCTGGGTGCCAACGCCATGCAGACCAAACTCAGGGTCCACTCATCCACAGGCCCAGAGTATAGGCTGCAGGAACGGACAAACGGTAAAAGTCTTGAACTGAGAAAGGAAAAATAATCAGCGATGTTTATAAAAAAAAATCAAAGCTTTTGAAAATGTATCTGAACAGATGAGATATATTTAACATTTAAGGTGACTTTTCATTTCCGTGGAGCTTAATAAAGTCTTATTTTAATATCATAATACATCTTAGTTTATTAGTTAATGTTCTTTGTATTAATCTGAATCTGCAAAGCAAGTAAAATGATCAAATAAAAGTAGTGGAGTAAAAAAACAGGACTATTTGAAGTTGAAGTATGAAGAAGCAAAAAATTTGAATATTTTTGTGAAGTACCTCAAACTTGTACTAAATACAGAGCTTTGGGAAACTTTACAGCACTGAACAGGAGAAGAAGGGAATCGGTTTAGCCCAGACATGAAGCACCAACACTGTTACTCACTGCAGTTTTCTGATAATGGAAACCAGCTGTGCGTTATTGGACTGGATATCAACAAATAATCCCAGAAGACAGTAAACACAAGAAAAATTCAAAAACAACATAGCCTCCAATGTTTTATACTCAGCGGTTTTAATAAATTTGCTGAATTTATCAGGTTATGCAGCATATACATCCAGGTTTGTGGGGAAAAACCTTTGTACATAAAAACATTTGAGTTGCATGTTTACAGCTGTTCATTCCTGTAACGTTGCCATTATTGAGTGATGTTTAGAAGAGTTTTAATCACTTTTCTGTCCCTTCATGGCAGAACAGTTTCAGATGCTTTTGAATAACATGTTTTTACAATTCAAAGGTGCAGAACCTGTAAAGCGTTTTGCCCTCCAGAGATCCACATGCAGTCTAAATTTGGCACCAATTACAACACAAGAAAACATGAGATCATAGGATAAATCTGAGAGTCTGTGAGAAAATCAACTAGAGAAAAGCAGAAAAACTTGTTACTTTTCGCTTTGCTTTTTTTCCTGCCAACTGCTGCATCATTTTACCTGTTCATGCCACTAAAATGATTCAAACGTACTGTAAAAAAAATCCTGTGGTATCCCATTTATGAAACTGAGAGGTCAGAGCCAGACACTCGCTCATTTTATTCTAGTGATGAAACACCATTCAATGACTAATATCTGTCATTATCAAACTCATAAGCATGGCCACCTCCCCCTCCCAGTTTCAGATGTGTTGATTTGGTGACCTCTAGTGGCCAAAGGAAAACATGCTGTTACATAGTACAGCGAATGGGAAAGCCCTCATTGTGTGGAGGTCGTCTTCTCCCAAGAGACAGCTGGTTGCAGTATGAAAAGTTGTGTTATAAGCTGAAGCAGTAGACACACACTGAGGAAGACACTCTGATGCAAGTTCAAGATGGTTTTGGTACAAAATGTGAACACTGGATGCTGATATTTAATGACTGGCTGCACTAAACAGTTAGCTTATGCAGCTAGTTTGGTTTGAAGACCAGGCGTGTTCCGATAGGCCAACAATATGTGAATAAATGTGACTTGTGATATAAGATGTGAGTAGCACTTTAATTTTGTCAAAGCTCTTTGAGGAAACAAAGCCAAAGATAACGACTAGTTATCAGAGTCACACATGGTTGTTTATTCAGCTGTGTCCCAAAAATATGTAAAAGTGACTGAGATATTGGATATAGGTTTGTTTGTTTGGCTGTTTTTTACCAGCTCTATATTTATTAGAATGTTTAAGATCATATAAAATAGTCTGAAAGGGAGAATAAAAACTCTGTTGATACATGTTTCTCTTCTGCAGGATTCCAGCAGGTACTGTTGAATTCTGAATATGGACTCGTATATTATAAAAGTCCAAGAGACATATAGAGTCAGATAAAAAGGTCCTTCACCTCAGAAACCTCTGGACATTACAGGTTCAGTTGCTGCAGTGACAAACAACATCTGCATCCATTTGAATAGAAAAGTTTTTAAAAAACCAGACTCTCTCTGTCCCCGGTCAGAGCACATTGGTCTCAGTCTGCAAGATAGACAGGGCTTGGGAGTCCCTGGGAAACTGGGCAGCGTTTTTGGTGCCATTTTGGCTCACCGACACAGCATGGAGCTTGTAATCCCGCCTCACATAAGGCTTGAGTGATAAACTCCTCCACGTCCTCCTCAGCTCACCCTGAACCTGGTGGTACACAGCAGCAAAGCAGAGTTATGCTTGTGAAGAAAAGGGTTACACTCACAAAATGGTCAGAATTATTTGCTGAAACGGTTCTGTGGAGACTAACCTCGCTGTTGAGGAAACAGTAGAGTACAGCCACAATTAGACCCTAAACACACAGACACATGTTCACAATCACCAATTCATAAAAGGTAGGTCAGTATTCGCATTGAGTAAATTTCCTGAATAAAATAAAGCCACTGCTTTCTTTTCTTCCTGATGGACTTTACATTCGAACCAATAGTAGACAAAACCATTACTTCCAACCGTTCAAATCTACCCAGTCAAAACACTTTATGACATGTTTGTTTCTGATGGACACGATAGTCACTGCTGCCGTTTCTCCTCTCACACGGTACCTGGAAGGATCCAAGACCGAGTTCAAAGAAGATTTTAATTTGCACCATGTTTCTATCAGCCGGCTCCACCAGGTAAACGAACACCATGTAGTTCACCCCAAACAGAGGGATCAACAGGAGGGTGGACTTCGCCAGACGCCTGGGAAACAAACACACGACACCACAAACAAAGCTATGCACTCAGTACATGCAGTAAACGCAGGCTGACATTTATCAGACAGACGATGACAACCCACCATCTGTGTGTTCTTGGCAAATGTTTAGTGTAATGTGCAGCATTTTGTTCTTTCCTTCCTCAAGCGAACTTGAGAACCTGTGGATGCCGGGGAACCTAAAACCCATGTTAACAATCATTTGCTTTAAAACAAGCCTCATTTACAGCCAAACAATCCTTACACATTTAAACACTTGCCTAAGAAGCCACACTTGGCTGTCGACTGAGTGAGCTGGGCTTCAGCACCATGTCCATGTTTAGAAAAACAATCATCTATTTCTGATAATGATTCCTTTATGTGCCAAACACAGAAATCTGGCTGCCTGAGTTGGCATGACATCAGCTAAAAAGCCCCTAAATGTAAGAATACAGTCAATAAAAGTTCAAAGGTGAATACGACACGTACCTGTATTGTGCATTCTCATTTCCGCCAACATCAGTGCAGCGCAGTTTCTGCACCAGAATACGAATGATGCTGACGAACAGGATGAAGTTGATCTTGTAAAACAAATGGGACAAAGCAGAGAGACAGAGTCATGTACACAATGAAGAGTTGATCTGTGAAGTCGCACCAGCACAGCCACAAGATGTGTGTTTATGTGCAGATTAAATCCTGCAAATCAAGCAGGACTGAGCTGTCGCAGCAAGGAGAAAATATGCTGAAGCAGAAAAACCCAAGTTTACGACGGCAGCTTGTTCTGAGTGATCGTTTGGTCAGTGTGTTTGGAAACAACCCGCCAAAGGATTAAATCTTATCTGAAACTTCTCTCTGCTTTGGACTTTGTCAGTTTTTATCAGCATTTATAAATGTCCCGGTTTGGATGGTAGAAACTGGGACATCATATTAAGATAATAATAAATGTGCCCAGATGTTTGAGTTTACACAGCTGGGAAATGAAAACAGGAGCGTTATAAAAATACTCATACTTGTAAAATAATAAAATAAATAAGATAATGACTACAATAAAATATATCATATATAAAAATTAACAAAAGTAAAAAATACCTATGCTTGTAAAAATATACAATAAAACTGATAATAAAATCATATATAATAATAAAAATAATTCAAAATACTTGTGCTTGTAAAAAATGCCATACAATAATAAATAAAAGAAAAAAAATATATAAAATAATTCTAAATACTTACTTTAACTAAATTATTAACTTAGGATATTAGGACACCAAAGGTTTTGAAGTGAAACACGTACAATGACAGACGCCATGATGGGCCAGTTGATCAGTCTGTCGGGGACGGGGTTTTCATTCATCTCCCAGCAACTGAAAAAAGGAAATCTGTGAGTTTTTCTGTTTTTGTAAAATCAGAAGTGGCTGAACTTTATGTAGCATTTATTAATTCACTATTTTAATCCACTTGATGTTATGTCCTATCATATTCTGCTACAGTACATTTCTCTAATCCTAGCTGCAGCCCTGGTAAAGACCACTAGACATCGACAGTGTTTTTAAGATGCTACACCTACCCACAGTGTAGCTGTGAGATCAGGAGGCCCAGACTCACCTCGTGTCTTCCAGGTTTATCCGACATATGATCCACGCCACCATGAAAACAAAGGGGATTCCTGAGAGGGAGGAGGAGGAGGAGAGAGAGTCTGTTTAGATTCTCAGTCTGCTGGACACAGAACATCTTCATGAGGTGCCACACAGGAAACATCACGTCCACACACACACAGGCGCACACACATAAAACAGCTGGAGCTGAATGGTGAAACATTAGGGAGGGAGTGTTGGTAATGATGGATGGTGGAGGGAGGTGCAACACAGCAGCAGCTGAGCAAGCACCAAGGCCAAGAGACTTTGCACATCCTGACCTTTTATTAAATATGCTTCACTAACGCTGTGGTTTAGGCTTACACCTGTTAATTAATGAGCTTCTGAGATGCTGGTAGGTGGATTTTTTAACCTTAGCACAGAGTCAGATAACTGTTTCCCCCTATTATGTCCCTATAGTTTTGATGCTAAGCTAAGTTGCCTGTTTTGTGCTGGACAGGTAGATTAGTCTAACAAGTAAAATCAACCTAAATGAAAGTGTTTGTTTAGCTTTAGCAGAACATGGCCAATGCTGGTAACCCACTGTGGTCAAGTGAGCCACCATTAGCTTTTGTTTGGTCAAGTCAGCCACACTTGTTTTCTGAGTGTGCAAATTGTCCTACATTTACGGTAATCGCTATGAACTGGCTGTTTAACACAATGTTTGAGAGCTTTGCGATCTGCAACCTCACCACCAGATGGCACTAAGTGTCTTTAATGTTGGAAAAATCTACCTATTCCACTCATTTTACACATGTTCCCCAAAGTTCAGCTTGGCCTGATTCTTAACTTAGAAAACTTTGGGATCTATCAGAAATGAAACTTGAATCAGTTTTAACAAAATTTTGTCGCACAACTGAGTTTGTAATGACTGACTGACTGACTTTCATAACTGAAGAGAATACTACCCAACAAAAGTGTGCAGTGCTCCTGTGTGGTGCAGCCTGTACCCCAGCCGATGAGCAGGTAGACCGAGAGGCAGGTGCAGTAGGTGTGGATGATGAGCAGCAGCGTGTGCAGGTAGAGCCCCTCCACCAGCAGCCAGAAGAAGTTGGCCATGATGAAGTAGTTAAAGAACACCAGGCTGGCCTTACAGCCCACCTGCAACGACAGCAACACTTGTTACACACGTGCTTCAACCGTTCATACAATAAAATGTTTGCCATGCAAGAAATCATGAATTTAGTGTAAGAAATTATTTTAGGAGCGACTCTACAGATGGCAAAAAACACTCCACCCTCACACACATGTTCACAAACTGTTTACGCTTCACATGCAACCCCAGATGTTTATAGTTTTGAACTTTAGTTCTTAGCTACAGTTTAAACACAAGCACAAACAAGCCTGCAAACAACGACGCCAAGCTAACTGATAATAAACATGAACTATTGGTGATCAAATTCAGTGAATTCACACTGTAAACTAGTCTCTGAAAATAGATACTGTATAAAATGTTTGTAGTTTCAGGCACTTTAACAAATTTAAACAACTGAAGAATATGTAATTTAGGCTCGGACTGTATTTGAACTTTAATGTACACACCACCATTCACGGACCGCTGTTGAACAGGAAGTTTGTGTATTTATTATGGGTGTAATGATACACAATCACCCTTTTATCACTCACTGTTATGCCTCCAGGACTCGATTGCTTGGATACACACATGTAATACGTACAGTGTATACTGACAGATTAGACCCTGATAACTTTGGTCCTGTTTTTAAAAGAACAGTTTTACAAAGAACAGCCAATACATTAGAAATATGGTGTCTCTCTGAGAACGAGTGAACATTTCAGCAGATTACAACTCATGGTATTTCTCATAAAAGTGGGTCTGTGGGTTGTGCTGACTTTGGGCTTGATTGTAAACCTTTGGGGAAACTATTGGAGCAAGCACTGCTACAACTTTATAAACAAACTGGATTTTTATGTGACCCAAACAGAAAATGACTGCTTGGAAAGACTGTTATGATTAAGTACAGGGACCAGCTCTTCCTCTCAGCTAATGTTACCAGATGTCCTATAAAAACTTCAGACAAGCTGCAGCATATCCCTCGTATCAGAGGTGAACATCGACCATAGTAAATACAGTAAAATAAATGTGTGTGTGTCATGAGGTCACCAGCGAGGGCTGTGTGCTGCAGTCTATGGTCTCGTCGTCTGAGAAGAGCAGAGTGTCTTTGGTCAGCACGGCCACGGCTCGCAGCATGAACGACACAAACAAGTTCAGATGGATATAGTTCCTCGTGCAGTGGAGCCTCCTGCACACACACACACACACAGAGGAATATAAGTGTGTTTACAGAGGCTGTCAGGGTGTGAACCCAGCAAAGGATGTTGTATCTAAACACACTGACACTGGCTGAGTGAACAGCTGGAGCTGCTCCAGGCCAAATGCAAGATTGATCCGTCTCACCTTGAATACTCTCTGTGTGTTTTAAGGGTTTATATGTAGCTTTATACTAGATCCTGAGCTAATATATCCAAGTTATCCTGACTTTCCAAGCCTAAGTCTGATCTTTTTGTCAGTACCTGCTGGAGCCTTCCACACTTGCTTGATTCTAAACTTCCATCCTTCAACATACACACGTTTATTAAAATGAACACATTTATCTGAAATCTTTGCATTAAAAATACTTGAAAAGTGAACTCTGGATTTACAAACCAACTTCACCTGGCGGAGAAATGTACTCAGCTTAAGCTGAATGAGCTTGAGGTAATGATATATAAACTAAATCATAACCAGTTCTTTTTGACGTCTAATGCACAAGAAATGTTTCAAACTGGGATCAAATGCATCTTGATGACACTGATGCACTTGACTTCATCTCCCCATCAGTACAGACATAATGATCACTCCATTTAAACTTAAAAACAGCATAGCTAGTTATGAAAATGATCAACTGTGCAAACTTAATTACTCCCAGAACAACATGCGTTTTCTGCAGGTTATTATGTTAAAGGGAAGTGAGATACCAACTGTTTTGTGCACAGTGTCCTAACAATATTCTTGCGTTTCCAAGTCTTTTCAGTTTCTGGAGCTAAGAGTGTGAGTCGCTCCTTGTGCACACACAACTGTAAATGGACAAGACTGCTTCAGTGAGCGTATAGTGCTTTAACATGTGTGTTTGTGTGTGCATACCTGAACAAACAAATGACGACGGCGCTGGTGAGCAGAGCGATGAGGGACAGGCTGTGGCCCAGAGTGGACAGAATCCTCACCACCCTGTAGAAAACCAGCTGGACACAAGTAGATAAATCACATTTATTGTGCATTTAACACCTGTATATAGTCAAACTGGGCAAACTCATAGTCAGCTACTGTGAAGCAGAGGAAGATTTCTCTCTAGAAACAACATTAAATGCAGTGGTGACGGTGGATTTTCCATTGTTTTAGGCCAGGCCTTCCCCTTTAAGTCGTTAAAGCCTTATAGGTAATGTTGTTGTTGCTGGAAGTGGGGACCTGCAGTGTGAGCAGTACAAGAGCGAGAAGACTGCATGGAACAGACTCTTTTTACATGGCAGCCAGACAGTAGTCAGCTCTAAGTGCATAGATAGGATTGTAATTCCACGTGGAAATGTGACTTCACCTCCTCCCCTGATTCAAATCAGTCAAAAGAACAGACAAAACAAAAATCACTGACATCTTTCCAGACAATGTTGCATGCAGGGTCCATCAGCTCAATCAGCTTCTTAGCATCAGGTCTTCCCAGTGACTGTGACTTTAAGGGGTTTCAGGAGGATTGCAAGTGCATGTTTGCTGTTGGTATTTTTCCATGGTAGAGCTTTACTTAGGCGAAGAGCTGAAGTTCTTCCTCCATCACTCCCAGTTGATCCACTGTACACATACACAGTCACAGCCTGGCATCAGTGTCTCATTCCTGAGCTTGATTCTCAGGCCTTTTGCCTGGAGCTGATGACCTGCTGCAGCGACACTGCCTTCTATGTCCAAACACATCTCCATCCATAAACTCTGGCTGGCTCGCCCTCTCCATCTTCTTCTCTGACACCAGGGAATTAAAGCAATATTGAACTTTAGGCTGAACATCTTGTTGGCTACAAGAGAAGTCTAAATCTGGTGAACTGTCTTTATCTTCAGCTCTTGTGCGCTCTGGAGGCCGAGATGTGCTCAGTGGAGCAGGAATCTTTATAAAGACATCCATTATATTTGTTTTCATGCATGTGTGTGTGTGTGTGTTGTGGGTGAACAGGATCGAATCCCTGCAGCAGGCTCAACATCTGGTGGAGCAGTTGAAACCAACTGCTCCATATAATTTTGTTGTATGTGTCACAATGACAATAAATAAAGCTTCTTGCACACATGGCTTGTAGCTTTCTGATCCACAGAGTAGTGAGCTCCCAACTCCTGCAGACGTAGGATAAAGATAATCACCTTTATTGGCAAAGTATGTTACACACAAGGAATTTGTTTCCGGTACAGAACCAATGGCAGCCATCTGCGGCACCACCTCAACAAGGGGCAACAGTGTGTTGCCCAAGGACACTTCAACACGTGGACTGCCGGCACTGAGATTTGAACCTTCAATCTTCTGCTCTATCACTGCACCACTGTCACCTCCCCTAAACAATGCTTGGCTACTTCGCACCTTAGCAAAGGATGGTTTAAAAGCTTTTAGCACTGTGGGTGCATGTTTTAAATCATCAGGTTTTAGGCCACTGTGTCTGCAGTCACTGCACCATCAGGACATGTGCAGGGTATTTTTTTCATGGCTCATTAGTTGAAGTTGTGTTATTTTGTGGGCTAATTATTGTGTGTGGATTTAAGTGTCAGATCTGTGATTGGTGAGGACCGAGTAGAGCACATTTCCTATGCACCACACTGGTCACTGTGTGGAAAGTTGGTTTAGGAGGATGTTGCTGAGAGAGAGGCTGCAGAACTGTCTGAGCTAAGGAGGTGCTGCTCAGTCACTCCAAGCTGTGCCACATAGGCTACTTAGCTCATTTATTTTTCTTATGGTGGCAGGTGGTTCTTTTGTGTACTATAAGATATAATCCTGCCGGCCCTACTGCCTGCATTAGCAGGGACAGCATACGCAACGAGCATGTAGGTGGTAGCACAGAGAATGGAGAGGGAGGGACAGGAGGAGCAGTTTGCTTTCAAATCCAAGTGCAAGTTCAAGAACTGCATATTGTAGCTTTAAGTCACAGGTCTGAGTACTTGAGTACTCAGAGTATTGATTACTCTCCTGCAGCGAGAGTGATCAGACAGCCAGGTGTATCTGCTGTGTGCACAGTGTAAGCTAACTGCCAGCGGTGACGTCTGGTCTGGACTGAATGTTTTCCAGACGGAAAAGCTGCGTCTCTTCAACAGGAAACAAATAGAAGCTTCACTGGAAGGTTGAGCGTGGGAATCCCACACCTGAGGGCTCTGGACAGGATCACTGCACTGTGTGCACGGTACGCTCTGCTGTTTTCTGTCACGCCACTCAGATGTGTGTACACTACATCATCTATTAGTTTCTGTGCTCTGTGCATTTGCTGTGAGGCAACTTACTCAGGAAGTGTTCGGTACAGGAAATGTTTGACTATGTCGCTCTAGCTTATAGACACACATTTTCACATTTAGAAATAAAGTAGCTCATTGGAAACCAAAGAAACTTCTCTTTATGGGTGAATTTGGATTGAACCTTGAACTTTTCCCATCTCAAAACAACTGCTCATGTTGCTCTCCTCATTTACATGCAACATCTCGCCAACGACCTGGAAACTCACCTACATAGTTCACACTATGTAGGTGAGTTTCCAGGATGGACTGTAAAAATGCCTCAGTCTAATGTTCCTGAACATGACTGGCTTTCTACAGTAGTAACATATTAATTATTATCAACCCGTTCTTATCCCAGTGCATCACACACTGAGGCTTTATCGAGCACGTCTGGTGTCTGTCGGAGACAGACGCTGTGCAGGAGGCACCACCTTAACCATACTTATGGGTGTGATAATGACCAATAATAACAAACTGGCTTACCATTATAAACAGTCCTACTCAGCCTTAGTACTGTACAGTACACAGGAGAGGTCCTTAAACAACAAGAGAAGTTTTTAATGGAAATTGAACAAATAAGACATAACTTTAAAACACCTGGTATGGTTTGTGTTCTGGGGCAGTGTGGACACAATAATGGCTGCGGCTATTCTCTTAAACCTCCTTGCTCTTTTAAAGCTCAGTATGAAGGCCCTGGAATGCAGCCGCAGTCACAAGCAATAGTTGGCGAGGCTAGAAAATAAGAAAATAAGCTGTGTGGCATCACACAGATGCCCTGGAGAAGAAAGGGCGGAGCCGAGCGGCCACATCACAGAACATAAGTGGGATCTGCTAGAGGTTTACTGTACTGCAGGAGAAGGGAACTGTGGGATTGACCACTTTTACACAAGCACATACTCAGCTGTGTCAGTCTGCTTCATAATTCTCTGGGCATTCAGCTGAAGGGGGAGAAATTTTTATCTTCAACATGTGAAGAGGCAGATGTGGGGAGGTTAAGCCTGAGTCTCACCGCAACACTCAGCTGTTCTCCTCTCACTTAGTGAAACAGTTTTTATGTTTTCTGTGCAATAAAGAGCCCGAGTGCAAGTGATGACCTACGTATTTCCACTGCAGGAAACCTTTTAAAAGCTCAACATAAACTCAGAAGTCATGAATGTTGAACAATAATTAAACACAGGCCTATTTCTAAACTCATTGCCAGTGTGGGTGATTTTTTTATTTTTTGCATTGAATTTATGGTCATTTATAAAAGCCCCGAAATTCCTGCCCATGTATAAAAGCTACAGCTTTTTGCACTGAGACAGCTACACAGTCCACAGAATTATCAATAGGCCAGTTATCAGTTGCTGTATAACTTCAGTGATTAGATAAGGTCCCTATTTGCTAACTAAAACCTTCTGGTAATAAAACAGTCAACATGCCAGAAAACACTGCTGTGATTCTCCAGAGTTAACGATATTTGGACTTTTGCTCAAAATGAAAACGCAGTGACAGTTTGGATCGGCTGAACTTGTGAATGTGTGCAGCAGCTGAGCTATTTCTAGCAAAGCATTTAGGTTAATGAGGCTGCTGAAAGATCAGTGTCGCAGCGAAGATCTGAATAATACACTCGGCTACAGCTGCTGTGACACACACACAAATGACTCGCAGCTTCTCGTCCAGTGTGGCGACACAAGCATCGATCCCGCTGCCGGGGACGGGGCCAAAAAGTTCGATTTTGGTTTCATCTGACCAGAGCACCTTCTTCCACATGTTTGGTGTGTCTCCCAGGTGGCTTGTGGCAAACTTTAAATGACACTTTTTATGGATATCTTTAAGAAATGGCTTTCTTCTTGCCACTCTTCCATAAAGGCCAGATTTGTGCAGTATACGACTGATTGTTGTCCTATGGACAGCGTCTCCCACCTCAGCTGTAGATCTCTGCAGTTCATCCAGAGTGATCATGGGCCTCTTGGCTGCATCTCTGATCAGTCTTCTCCTTGTATGAGCTGAAAGTTTAGAGGGACGGTCAGGTCTTGGTAGATTTGCAGTGGTCTGATACTCCTTCCATTTCAATATTATCGCTTGCCCGGTGCTCCTTGGGATGTTTAAAGCTTGGGAAATCTTTTTGTATCCAAATCTGGCTTTAAACTTCTCCACAACAGTATTTTGGACCTGCCTGGTGTGTTCCTTGTTCTTCATGATGCTCTCTGCGCTTTAAACGGACCTGTGAGACTGTCACAGTGCAGGTGCATTTATACGGAGACTTGATTACACACAGGTGGATTCTATTTATCATCATTAGTCATTTAGGTCAACATTGGATCATTCAGAGATCCTCACTGAACTTCTGGAGAGAGTTTGCTGCACTGAAAGTAAAGGGGCTGAATAATTTTGCACGCCCAATTTTTCAGTTTTTTATTTGTTAAAAAAGTTTGAAATATCCAATAAATTTCGTTCCACTTCATGATTGTGTCCCACTTGTTGTTGATTCTTCACAAAATATTACAGTTTTATATCTTTATGTTTGAAGCCTGAAATGTGGCAAAAGGTCGCAAAGTTCAAGGGGGCCGAATACTTTCGCAAGGCACTGTAGGTTAATGAGGCTGCTGAAAGATCAGTGTCGCAGCGAAGATCTGAATAATACACTCGGCTACAGCTGCTGTGACACACACACAAATGACTCGCAGCTTCTCGTCCAGTGTGGCGACACAAGCATCGATCCTGCTGCTGCGACGTGGCCACGGTGACTATTAAGGCCACACGTCCGGTCAGTATGAGACAGCGTCTGAAAGGAGACGGAGCTGAGCCCCATCAGGGCACCGACTGGGTGTCGGGGGAGGCGCTATATACATACTATAAACTATACGCATGATCTGCCTGTTTCTTCTTTCCCGAGCTCCGTCTCTGTTTATCTCTGTTTATCTCTGCTGTCTCTGGACAGATAAACACACACAGGCGCTGACCCACTAAGCTGATGTGAAACCAGCACTTGTCTTCACCGCAGCAGGAACAACAACGCAGATCTTTGAACAGATATGAAACCAAGATGTTCAGATGAACTGAATCAGTAATCTGCACTGGAGTCCTATGCCGTGTCTGCTAATTGATAGTCGAGTAAGTCTGTTTAAGCACTGGGCTACTCTGTCACACTGAAAGCTACTGTGCCTGCAGTGTTGTTATTTAATCTCACACAGCTATGAAGAGTATTTTATTTGATTTCATAAAGGTTTGTCATCCAGCTGTCTTTGGGAGGGACTGTTGTCTGTGCTGACCTTGTTCTTTCACGTGGGCTTGGTGTGTCTCTGCCCTTAGGGAACAAATGTCCTGCATTATTTTCATTATGACTCCTGATTTTGGAAATAGGACAAATGTGTTTAATTCAGATTCTGACTAATTTGTGCAGAGCTGCCTGTTGAAAACCGGGCCTGTGGTTAACCTGTTACTTGTTGCAGAACAAAGCTGCAAACAAGGGGACATGACCCTTTAAGATGTCGACACCACAGACTGGATATGAAGACAAGATAACACTCGAAGTTTGTGCTATTTAGCACCAACTCCTCAGCTGCTGTGGACGTGACACACAGACTTGTGATTTTTAAAAAAGCACAAAAACCCCCAGTGGTTTTAAAACCCTGTGCACAGCATTTCTAGAGTTTCACTTTTTCACCTCTAGCTCCGTCTTGAAACAAAGATGCATAGAAATGATCTAACTTCCAGCGGCTGCAGCTCCTGAGTTGCACCGATTATCACACAGAATGTCTTGAAACTAAAAATTAAACACGTTCAGGGAAACTCTGGAAGCATGTAGACAGGGGAACAGGTTCAGATCATGGTTTGGGTTAAAATAACAACCTGCTTAGTGATTTAACATTTACTATAGGTTTGAAACAGGGAACAAAAAGCTGTCCTGTGTTTTGTCACCCAGCCATCGGCCTCCTTCCTGCCCAGTGTAGACCTACAGCATCGCTTGTTGTACCATGTCACCAGTGGCGACTTTGGGTCCTTTCATAATTACTACAGCTACTAGGTGTTGCCTCAATACAGCTCTTATCAATGATACAGTATGTACCTTCTGACCTACCAGTTGGTGTAGTTTGCCCCCAGTGAAACTATTGATAAAGGACATTTCATGGGGTGAAGACATTTGGACCGGCGTTTCAGTCGGTGCTTCTGCACCACAAACACACGTTCGCTATCAGCTGCTAATGTGTATGAGAGCAAGTGATTGTTGGCATTTAGCAGAATTCACCTTGGTGGGTTCGTCTTTGTTGTTTGACCAGCAGGCGACAGTGATGATGGGGCTCCGTGCGGTGCCTGCTGAGGTTACCTGACACACACACACACACACACACACACACACACACACACACACACACTGTTACCATGCCTCGAAGGGGCTGATAATTCATCACCATTCATCTATAGATGGATAAAGGAAATCATTGTTCATCAAATAAAGCCTGTGAGGAAAAAAAGAAGAATCCTCAGTAAGAATACATTTAAAAAAAATTACAAGATAGAAAATCAGAGTGACAACATTTGGTCAAACTGGCAACAAATTTGATTACTGATTTGTTTAAGCAAAATTTTTAAACGTTTGGCTTCAAATAAATATTTTCTGACTCTCACCAACAGTAAATTAAACATGTTTAGGTGTTGGATCGGTTCTGTTAACAAAAAAAAGTAACTTGAATTTGTCTTCTGTAGAAACAAATGAATCATTTTTCATGGAAATCAATCAGCTGATTGAGATACACCAGTCCAAAATGAGAAGAGATGCCGCACCTGTATTATTTAGAATCATATATACTGTATCTCATAACTGAATTACAAATACTAACTTCCAACACAAACAAACACAAGGCATCACATTAAATACACCAAACTGCACATTAGCATGTAAGACAGTCCTGCAGAATGCACGTAAACATCATGTCGTCTTAACACATCATGTGTGTGTTGAGGCTCACCATTTTTTCCAAACAGGCGCAAGAGTGGTGAGGGGCAGGGGAGGGTCAGCACCTCACCGACCCCAGTGTTTCGCCAACAGGACACGTTGTCCCATTCGCCGTGACACCCTGGACACACACACAGATCAGAATGATAAATTAGTCTGCTCAGAACTTCCTGTTTGGTTGAGCTACGTGTTTCAAACACTCCGATCCTGTGTGCATGCTGAACCAACAGGACTATAAATCACGCTCACATAAAAGCCCTGGTATCCCTCTGAAGTGCTGACATTTGGCTGAACTGTAAATTCAGAAGGGCCTAGAAATTCTTGATTTAACACCTTAAAAGCTCCTTAACCATTTCATGTCTGTCTTAAGAATATTATAAGGATTAAACAACTGAGTTTGATCTTAAAAAGACCAAAGTGAGGCTCTAAATCTTATTCACACACAATACTTACACAAATACTTTAATAACTTCATTTACCTTTACTCCAGTATTAAAGAAACACTCACCTTAGCATTGAACAAACACTTAAATAAACTGTAGCCTGAGGCATTTAATCTCAATAGTTGGAAAAAAAAGTGTAAGGGGTGTATGTACAGGTATTATTGGGATAATAATTAAGGGATTTTTTTATTTAATCAGTCTTTAGCAAAGGTTTGATCCCACTGAGGTTAGAAACCTCCTTTTCAAGGAGATTGTGGCCGAGACAGCTCCAAACACAAACAAACACATAAAACACTACAAGGTAAATCCCAGTTCCCTTGAGGATCAAGGACGACCAAGGTTGCTTACTGTATATCACCTCTGAAAAGCAAAGCTGGAGGAGCCATAAACGAGGATACACTTGACATCTTTTATGAAAGACTTTTATGGACTGGCACACCTTTATTGAAAACCAGTCAGTGATCAGATGCTTCAAATGCAGGATCGGCTGGAAAGGAGGCCTCACATTGTTAATAATGCGTTTCCTCATTTCCTCACATCTTACGTGAGCAGGACTGAGACACAAGGAAAAGACGAAACTGGGGGAAACATGAGTATACACAGTATGTGAGTGCATGTGTGTGTGCCTGCTCTCCTTATACAACCCTGGAGTATTTGTGTGGAAAAGTAAATAAATGATCGACAGCGTATGCAGCAACACACTCGCTGTGCCTGAAACTGGGTCTGGACCCACCCTCCTCTTCACATAACTGACCTCAGTCAACATGCACAAATACGTAAATGTTTGTCTTGCTGTAGCTGTGAGGACACTCGCTGACCTTGCCCCACAACTAAATACCTCACACTAAGCTTAAAACCAAGTCACAGCTCAAAGACGTTGTGAAGACCAGTCAAAATGTCCACAACAACAGTACGCAACTATTATTTCAGTTTTTGTCATTGCACATGCCAACAGTGTTTGTCACTAAGATCTTCCTCTTGTGTTGTTTTCTCCTTGGAGCTGAAGGGTCTTTCCAAACACTTCCTTGTGTGTGTGTGAGTTTTATAGTGTGTATACCTGTGCTAGTTGGCGTCTGTTGCTGCAGCTGTGTCTGACACTCTCTCCTGGCTCTCTGCATCTCCCAGTCAAACTGGCAGTTTGGAAACATCCCATTAATCTGTCCAGACAAGAGGAAATAAATATTATAAATATTATCAGCATGAACAAGCCTCCAATGTCAGGCCCCAGTCGCCACGGTATTAACCACTCATGTGCCAGAGTAGAGCCGAGTGCGCTGAGGCAGAGCATTTACTGCCTCACTTCAGCGTGACAAACACCAAATGAGAAAAAACAAGCTGCTGATTGTGTTACTGATTTAAATATAGCCAGAGATTTATATTTATGCTATCAATGGCATTTTTAATTAGATTTTTACCTAGAACACACCAGAGTGTTGTCACACCATTATATGGCCATTATCACCATTAAAACAGCCAAAAGTTTGTGCCTACTGTACCAACTGTGCTGTTGAGTGTCAAAGGAGCTGCTGATAAATGATGACGTTTGCACTGTCAGACCACTGTCTGGTGAGCGTGTCCTGGTACAGTTGGCAGTAACAAAGGACACACTTTGAGTGTACATGAAGGGTTGCACGAACAATCTACACACTCAAACAAAATGAATCCATGTGTCAACTCAACTTCATTGAAATACTGAGAACACTGGGAGGTCTGTTTATACTGAGATATACTGCTGTTCTCAGCAGCTTTTCAACCTGACACTGTGTTTACAGCTCATACACACAAACTTCTCAAGCTTTTGATACTTCACGGTGAAACTCCTCTGTCTACTGAACCGCCATCTGGGGTCAAATAACTGATCAGCCTGTCATCTTATCATGTGTACCAACCAAACATTATTCCCCCACTCTCACACCTGTGGAAGCCGGATGCTTGACAGGCAACAGCTGCATTTACACTGGCTTTTTAAACATTTCTCCTGCCAACCCATGAACAGACCAAAGTAAAGAATGTGTTGGTCCATCTCTGAAAACGTTCTGACTTTGCTACAGTCTGTGGCCCTCGGACTGATGTCTTCTTACTAAAGACGTGATCTTTAAACATAAATACACAAATATACTGTAAGTCTCAGTAATTTACTAAAGCTGAACCCTGCAGTTTTCAACAGACGGTAACACTGCATTTGTTGGGAACTATTCTCAGTAGTGGATTCCCCATGTGGTGCTCTAGTGAGTGTCTTCTGCACCACGATGGTCAAAGTGGGATTGAGTCAAAATAAACCGGAGTGTGTGTGTATCCATGGTGATGAAGGAACAGACAAATTCAACTCCTAAAAGATGGTGCACACCGTTTCTCTCTTTTAAAAAGTGCAGCTTTAAAGTAGGACACTAACTTTTTATGACTTTTAATTCCTGGACGTCTAGTTCGTCGCCCAGACTGAGGATAAAACACCAAATAATGAGATGCATATGAGGTGTTTGGCCACAGTCTGCGTGTTTAATACTTCACTACATGAGCTGTTTTCTGAAAGCTAAACATTTTGTCCGTCAGTGGTTTGGAGCTACAAACATGAATCTGCAGTGTCCTTGGTTTTCTGACTGTTTTAATGGGGTTTATATTTACATTTGGAACAAAAAATAAATTGGAATTTCCTTTATCAGGGCAAATAATTCAGTTCTGTTGAACTTTGGCATTACATATTAACTTTAAGCTTTCAGGCTGTTGGAAGCTTTAATGATGATGACATTAGAAATATTTCCCAGGCTCCAGGATACACAATTATGAACTCCAGGTGTCCCTCATGGGGGCGCTGTGATCTCCATTGGTTGTTCTCAGAAATTTCAGCAACCGATTTGGATGCATGTCTCCTGCCACTAATCACCCACACCTGTTCACCACAGCATATAGCAGCTTCTCACAGTGTGAGGAGCTGCCAGATTGTTCTATGCTTTGTCTAGACTCTCCAGCGTTTTCCTCTGACTTCTTTCCTGGTACCAGACCCTTGCCTGCTCTAACGACCTGTGATCCAGCCTGCTCCCTCTTGTCTGACTGCCAACCTGAGATCGACACCCTGCCTGTTCAACTAACCTGTGATACTGCCTTGCCTTCCCTGCTGCCCTGCCGGAGACTTCGACCTTAGACCGTATTAAGTACCACTCTTCTGCCTGATCCCCCAAGACTGTTTGTGTTTCTGCTGAAATCACAGAAAGACATTAAAGTGTGTTCTACTGCCTCAGCTGACTGGCTCTTTAATTGGGTTC